CGAGCAGATAAGGGGCCTGGGCAGCCACAGGATGCTCTTTAAAAGGCAAAGAGATCTGACACAGATGTTAAAAATAAACCGTTGTGTCATTTTCAGGGCTTGCTGCTGTTCAAGCAGACTGGTAGGTGAGCAGTGTTAGCAGCTGGTGTTCTCCCATCGTTAATGCATGTTCGCTGTCATCATTTTCTTCTTCTGCCCCAGTTTTTCAAGGGGGAACAAGCCAGTCCCCATTGCACAGGAGGAAACTCAGGAGAGAGGGAGAGCAGAGGGGCTGTGCCAGAGACACCACTGATTTCACTGCCTTTGCCACTCACATGACTTAAAAGTGATGAAAAGCAGGGTCACTGTGTGGAGAGTGGCCCTGTGCCCTTTGCTGTCTGTGTTAGAGACTGAGGTCATCCCCTTCCCCTTAGCAGTATTCATTCCAGAATGATTAAATTTGGGCTGGCAGAAGGGAGTTCACAATATTGAGTAAACGGCACAAGCAGGATATGCTAGCCTATATGTATTTAGCATGCTCTCAGGACCTTACAGCATGTCTGAGAATTGCATATGTTGCACCAGCTCTCCAGTAGTGAGAGGAGGAGCGGGCGCTGTGGGGCAGCGGCGGCAGAAAAAAAAAGCCCACCACACCCTGCAGCAGGGTTAAGCCTTCGCCTCAGCTGGTATTTGTTTGTAAAGCAGTTCCTTGGCTACTTCATGTTCTAACAAAGCTGGAAGAAAAGTTCCTGTGAGGAGGTTGAAAAGACAGAGATAATTTAGGGATTTGAGTTGTGCCAAGATAAATGGGATGCTGTGTCTAAACTTGACACAGCTGAGACATGTTTGAATAACAGAGTACCCAAAACTCATGAGTTTGCTTAAATTATGCACTCATACTGTTTTGCAGGTACTGCATTCTTCCACTCTTTCAAAAACTGCAATGTCGGGTCCTCGTCCCATCACTACTCAGCTCCTTCACTCCGCTCAGACACTGTGTACCCTTCCTTAGCAGGCAGAGCTCCCTTGAGCTGTCTCCCTCCTCCCTGCCTCTGGTCCATGTTTGATCCCCACCTACAGACCCTTCCGGGCTCTCCTCCCTCCTCTCTGCCTCTGGCTTGCTCTGGCATTTTGCAGCAGCATCCGATCCCTGGCATCAGAGCTCCAGGAACTGCTTCCACCAGCATCCCCGCAGGGTTGCTTGTCCCTTTTTCTGTTCAGCTGCTTGCCCGGGGAGCTTCTGGTCTTTGCTCCTTTTTAGACATCTTTTCCTGATGCTGTCCGTTGGAAATTAATAACCCATTGTCCCAAATACCCATAGCGATCCATGTTAATCATTTGTCTATGTCTCACACCCAAACCATTCTATGATTCTATGTGTTCATACCAGCTGTTTCTTATCCCTCTCTCACATTGTTTCATCTCCTTCCGTCTGCCTTTTGCTCCATCAGCAGGTTTTCTTTATTTAATAAATATGATCGCCTTTGCCTATCCATTCATCAGTCCCTTCCTGTGTCACTCCTGTGGTTTTTTTGCACAACAAAACCCATACAGACATTTTCAACTTCTCTTGCTATTCACACTCCCACACCTGAGTCTGGCTAGGCTGCTCGTCCTGCTGCTGGGGTCATTACAGATGTGCTTGCTAATCCACTTTCTACCCACCACTGTGTCCTTGGGCAGTGACAGGCTTTTTCGAGCTGGACCCTTTCCTCCTGCCTTGGAAATGTGAGACATGTTGTGGTGCAGGTTGCAATCAATAGCAATTCAAAAATTACCTGTTGTGCTCATAGCAAGTGTGTGGGTCCAGGTGCTCTCTTAGCTTATCCTTCTTTGTCGGTTCCTTTTTTTTTGTTAAGCTTCTTTAAAGTATCTTTTTTAAAAACTAAGCTGGAAACTGTTCAGTTTATTTCCTTCTTTCTGCATTTGTACAGCATTTAGCAAGAAAAAAAAGGTTTCAGTCTTCTTTGGAGCTTTCAGATAATACTGTAGTTCACATAAGGAGTATTAGATTTCATCACAGCCAGGGTTAATTTTTCATCTTTTGTTTTTGAGGAGAGTGACTAGCAGGCTTTGATACATAATCTAAATCACTTCAGTCCAAAGCAAGTTTTCATAAATGAGTTTTCACAGCTCTGAAAGCTGTTTCTGCAATCCAAGTTGATTGTGGTGGTATACGAGCAAAGGTTGAGTGGTTTTTAGCACTTGCAGCTCTTTGGGTGATATTTGGCTGAGCATTGCTGGAATTTGGACTCCAGGAGTGGGTAACGTGGATGGAGGAGGTGACTCTGGTGAGAAACGTCTGCAGCAGCTATTTCCTTAATGTGGCACACAGTTCTGCAGCATCCTAGTGATGCTGCCATCCTGCACAAAGTCAGTTTGGTAATAATAATGAAATAAGAAGTAAGTGTAGAAGTGACTCCTGTAAATTGTTTCCTGTACTCAGCTCAGAAGCAATGTGCTTGGTAATATTTATCTTTAGTGTTGCTGAAAAATGTTGGTTTATAATTAACTCCTTATTATGAGGATCAAACACTGGCAAGAGGTGAGTCCAGAGCCAGCTTTGCACCACCATGCCTGCAGAGAAGCATCAAACCACTTCTCTAGCAGCTCAAGTATTTGATTCTTCCATACAAATCCTGGCATGTACAGGCACTGTGCAACACTGCAGTACTGAAATAGATTGTATCAGAGGAGGATGGGAAGCGATGTCATTGCATGTACCATATAGTCATAGAAATGGATGCTTCATCCTTTGGTAACAGTTGACACACTTGGTTTCAGTGGAAGTGCCTAAGGGAAGCACATGTATGTTGTACTAAGGAAGTGTTAGCTCTATATTGAATTTCTGGAAAGGAAAACATCAAGGGGAAGGAATTAGTAGCTATAAGAGAGCAGACGTGAACTAGGAGTCTTTTATAACCATTCTCTCGTTTCAGTTATATATTAAAAGTCTTGTCAGCTACCCAGTAGCAAGGTATCGGTTTACAATGTTACTTGCCATTACAGATATTTGCTGACAGCGGGGGCAGGGGGAAAACAGGGAGGAGAACTATTCACTGACTCTGTTAGCTCAAACAAGTTAACCTTCTGGGATCCTGATCTCATGGCCGTTCAGTTTTTTTTATTATTTTGGAAGGAAAGGTGGGAGAAAGGGGAAGGTTTCAGCCTGGCAAATAAAACTGATGAAAAATAGAAGCAACCTTTTGCTTGTTCACAGGATAGCTGGCATAAGGGGCAGCAGCACTGTGAGCTGCCCTCTTTGCCTTGGTAATGTGCGTCCTTTCCAGATGACAAGAGTGCAGTCAGCCTCTGGTGGAGTGTGGTTCTTATCCTCTGACTCTCCTGAGCCTGCCAGCATGAGTGACAGTCAATAGGTTTAGCCATGCTGATATTTGTGTGGAATAGGAGCAAAACCACCAGGGTGTTTGGTGGTATCCTCGGTATCAATAATATCACATGGACTATCTGGCATTCATTGCACATACAGAATCATGTATGATTGTAGGCAGTGCTTGGGACAGGAGATTTTAATGAGCCCAG